TAGTGAGGCTGCACTTTGGATACTGTGTTCAGTTTTGGCCTCCTCACTACAGGAAAGACATCAAAGTTCTAGAGTATGTCCAAAGAAGGGCAACAAAGCTGGTGAAGGATCTAGAGAACACATCTTCTGAGGAACAGCTGTGGGAACTGGGGTTGTTTAGCCTGAAGAAGAGGATGCTCAGGGGAAATCTTACTGCTCTCTCTACAACCACCTAAAAGGATGTTGTAGCAAGGTGGGTGTCACTCTTCTCCCAAGTAACAAGCAATAGGACAAGAGGAAATGGCCTCAAGTTGCACCAGGGGATGTTTAGACTGGATGTTATGAAAAATTTCTTCACCAAAAGGTTTGTCAAGCACTGGAACAGGCTGGCCAGGGAAGTGGTGGAGTCACCACCACTGGAGGTATGTAAAAGAGTTGTAGACATGATGCTTAGGGATATGGTTTAGTGGTGGACTTGGTAGCGTTGGCTTAACAGTCAGACTCGATCTTAAAGGTCCTTTCCATCCTAAACAATTCTATGACCCTATGATTCAAATAGAGTCAGGCAGGAAGTACCACATGGACCTGTTCTGGCTGCAAGATTATTTGATACTTTCATAATGACTACAAATATATTGGACAGGAATATAAATTCAAAATGGTCTCAACTGAGACATACTTGCTTTAGAAGAGATTGCATCCAAGAGTAGCAATGCTACAGTAAGTGTCCAGCAACATCAATTTAACATTCCCATGTCTTGCTCCTCCCACTTCCACTGTGGATTATTTACAATCATGTGGGGGTGGGCTTTGCTATAAACAATATCAAAATACAAGATCTTTGAATGGAAGATTTAAAACCTCAGGGCTCTGGCCATGTTTAGATTGCAGCCCTTGACCTGCAAAACCAAAGCTGGTGGAACATGTTTGGATATGAGTGGACAGGCAAGAGCACTTTAGTCTAGTATTGCTCAACTGTAATCTCACATTTGTTCTTGATAAATTTCAGTCCATTTCTCCAATTTGTCAAGACAATTTTGAAGCTAGAGTTACTGCCATACATACTGAGTGGTGAAGCTACAGCAATAAGAAGAATTAATCATTTCAGGAATTAGCAATTTACATTACCAAAATTCAGTGCAGTCAATAATGCCAACTTCTGTGAAAAAAACCCCTCTACTACTACCCTGAGATGCTCCAGCATAAAACCAGTTGCAAAACCATAAAATAATTATTTCTATTTAGCACTGCTAGAGCCTCATTTAAGATAGTGGGTCTACATTCACATGTTCTACTTCAAGAAGAGAACCGACTGGAAAGAATCCAGAGGGCATCAACAGAGCAGAAGTCTAGAAACCATTTGGAAAAATTGAAGAAACTTAAGTTACTTAGTCTAGAGAGGAATGAGAACACTCTTCAATTAGCTTCCAGACAAAAGACAGGAAAACGTCTTCTCACCTACCCAGATGAAAAGGACAAGTAGTTTTATACTGAAGATGTACATCAAAGATTAGTATTAAACACACATTGAACCCTGGAGAGAAAATACTTTCCAGTGTTAAATCTAATAAAGCTTTACGAAAGATTGCCTAAAGAGAGTGGAAAAGCTTCATGAGGAGGTTTGAGAAGAGTGATTTTCTCAGTCATTTTTGTCTTGGAACGGAAAAAATGCACTAGATGGCCCAAGTCCCTTCCAAGTTAAATGACTTTTTATTTATTCTGTCCTCTTTCTAAGCACAGATAATGTGTTTCTGTAAATATTTTCTCAATCTCATGTTCTAAAGGACACAGCTTGATCACAGGATTGTGATCTGCAGACTCAAGGATCAAGAAAGATTTCATGCTACAGAGGTCAGGTTAGATTATAAGCCCACAGGACATAGCAACTGTGTTCACCGGCTATCTGCATGTTACAGTACAGTGAGACAGTGGGCCAGATCATAATACTTACTTGTCTGCTGCATGACATATTGTGCCACATGTGTCAGCCATATCATCAACAAGAATTGCTACTCTGTCTTTCACATCACCAACCAAGACCATTCTGTCCACTTCATTTGCCTTCTTTCTTTCCTTATGAATGAGAGCAAATTCCACATTCAGTCTGTCAGCAATTGAAGTAACCCTAAGTCACAGGAAGAAATACACCGCATTTAGAGAATTATTTTCAAAGAAAGAACAGAGCCATACATGCGTATTTGTCAGAAAAGATTTTTTATGTTCTCTGGCTTTCAAATTACCACAGTACAAACTTTTGCAAGTAATGAGATGGTTTAGAAACAATCTTAATTCACTGCTAGTAAGTATAACCAGAGAGTCTTAAGCTACACTCCAGAAATTGATTTTTTTATTGAATTGGCTTTGGTTTTCTGCCATTAAGTGCCTGGTTTTGAAAACATTTCAGCTATTCGCAAGCTTTTAGTAGGCTGCTGCAATACCTAGTCATACTAGATAATTTAAAGTAGAGGTAGCCTCAATTCTAAGCCTACAGCATTGTGCATTTTAACATCCTAACTGAAAATACCATTGCAGGAATGTGAAACCAAACCAAAGGGAAAAAACCCAAACAAGTTAATAGTGAATAATACATCTTTTAGCAGTACTTGACTAGTAATCAAGTAGCTTACTTCATTAGTAATTCCCTTAGCAATACATCTGCTTGACAAAGATCTTTTAAAACTATTCAGGGTGACATCTGGTGGCCAGACAAACCTTCAATAACCAACTTAATCTGTTACAGACTTCTGATTGCTTTTTTTCAGTTTTTTTTTAATGTACCAGAGCTAGTAGGTATAAAGACACAGGAATAAACAATACTATGCTTTTTCTGTGCTGGCACAACCTTGTAGCCTGTCTTTTTAGAATGCATTTAGAACATTGTTAACATGCACAGTTAATAGAGAATCCAGATTTGTTTCTTTACCACTTAAATATGGAGTTCTTAGTTACTATATTTCAACAACTGGGTGATAAACAAGAACCACAAATGTTTTGGCACTTTTGCTGAACAATAATGTAATTTCATAGCAAGTCTAAATACCTCAGAGGCATTAAGATATCAATAGAATTTGCATGCCTTATTTCAGTCACAAAATTTAGTAAGTTGGGAGAAACCCCAAGGAAATGGTAAGAAACAAAAAAGAATTTAGATACTTTAAATGAGTGCAAGAACATGTTCTGTGGTTTTGTTTTTTAATTTCTTTAAGGCTTACAGATTTAAAATTTAAGACAAACTTTCTTCACATTGTATTCACTTTTCATTAACCAAAGTATTATTTTGAAGGTGTACATGTTTTAAATGGAAAAGTCAAATAATTCTCTTTACATTACATTGCTGGAGGTGAAGGAGAAGCTGTGGATTTATTGAAAGGAACATCTTCCCCTACTTCACCAGCATTTGCTTGGTTGTATTAAAACAGAAAGGCATCAAAGATAGAAACTATCTATCAATGTTAAACACAGCGAGCATGGTCCTCAAAAAAAACCCTCTTATGATCAACTTGATAATATACAAGTATTTGGTAGGGGAAAAAATGCTGTCTTCTGACTTGAATTCTAAGCAAAGGCTGTATTTTGTTTAAAAAAAAAAACAACAAAACAAAAAACCCAAAACAAACCACAAACAAAAAACTGTGAGAACAACAGTATTCAGATAGAAACAAAGAAATTTAACTGAGTCATCTGAATTTTAGAATGCTTTCTATAGTTTATATTCTTCACATCTTTAACTTGATTAATCTAAACAGGAACAACTAAGGAGTTCTCAGACTTATTTCCCTATTAAGAACAAGAACACTCACAACAGACCCAAGGACTTCAGTTAAAATCAAATTATGAGTCTTTCACATTTTTCCCCATACTACACTCCAAACATTTAAATTACTGTGGGCTTACAGGATTCTTAATTCATTGGTCTTTGTTCCCATTCAGTTTCCTAGCAGCAGCATGACCAATAAAACTTGAGAATAAGCATTTTACCTCAATGGCATGCTTTACCACCTCACCAGCCAGCATGGTTCTGAGCTCTTGTGTTAGTTTATACTCAACAGATACCAAAAAGTTAGTCTGCTAAATGAGTAATGCATGCTGCAAATGAAGAAACACTCCAGTGAACTAACTTTTCTATTTTCACCTTTTGCCACTCAAAACAAAAACTTCACTCCCTTTTTCCAGTATTCACAGTGCACAACTTGGGGTCAATAGGTTTACAGATGGAATGCAATAACAAAGAAAAAAGAAACACAACTCACGCAAGCTCTTACCTAAATGCCAGCAGGTACAGTGGGGATAGGCCATATGCTTTGACAGAGAAGGGAAACTTAGGCAATTCCAGAGCGAAGCAGGAAGAGGTGCAGCAACTGGACTAAAGAAGCAAGCAGCAGGAAAAATCTTTTCCCTCTTGTGGAGGAATTTGGCTAATGAGGTCATATTCAGGAAGAGAGGAAAAGATTTTCCTTAGAGTATAGAAAGCTCCTGGATGTTTTCAAGCATGAACAACATTGGAAGAACTAGTTGTTCTGTTTTTACAGTGCAGTTGGATTCATCAGTGATGTACCCTATATCTTACACAATTCATGGAGGAAAAAAAGATGGTTAGACAAACCAGTTCATTATCCACTAGCTATATGGGAAACTAATAGTTTTAGGCTTATATAGTACCTCTTTGCACCACCTGCATCAGGTGAGACTATGATACAGTTTCTCCACTCCAAAATGTTCTCTTTAATCCACTGCAGCACTGCAGGTTCTGCATACAGGTTATCTACTGGAATGTCAAAGAAACCCTAGTCCGAAAGAGAAGAAGAGTTTCATGAGTATAAATTTATGCCTTACCTGGAACAAAGACACAGGGAAAGAATCAAGCCTTTGCCTTTCACATATGGTAAGACTTTAATCAGTATTTTACACTCACCTAATTCTGCACTCTGATTACTATAAAATGCAGCAGAAGTTAGACAAATATTAAGGTGTCTAAAAATCTCACCCAAGAGTAGTGAAATAATGAACAGCTGTTCTCAAATGATACAAAAATCAGAAAAGAAAATCACCTTCAGGCACTCAAGTAAATTCATGCTTGTGAAAAGCTCTGAAAAAGTCTAGTGAGTAATACTCAACTTCCATAAATTTCAACTGCTTGACATGAACAGTAGTATTCCAATATGGGAAGATTCAAGTTAGTACTACTTGAGCAGCAGAAATGGCATCTTTCTTTGTGCACAAGTTGTAATAACAAGAAACATGTGTTGGACCACAAAAGAAACTGCTTTTTATTTGCATGACAGCCACCTAGCATAATAGGAAATTCTGATTAAACAAAATATGAAAACTGGAAGAGAAGGTATTTTCTAGAAAAAATAGAAATAGTTTAGTTTAATAGTTTCAAGGTAACTTGAAAAGAGGTACACTTGAGAATGACAAATGATGTCAGCTCTGTGTCCAGGGCAAGAGTTTTGTGATTTGCTGGATCCAGCAGTAAGCCAGCTAAGGGCTGCCAGCCTCCATCTCCACTTCTCTTAAGAGAATATTGTCCCCTTGGCTGTAACAACAAAACTCTATCTAGGGCAATATGATAATCTCTGACCAGGCCAAGATTAAGAGAACTTGCCCCAGACCAGTATATTTTATATATATTTTATGTTCTGGGAGCTCTTAACTCTACACTTGGCAAATTCCACTGGAGACTCCAATGCACAAGTATTTGAAGTGCATGCAAAATCACCCCATAAATTCAAGGCTGGTCTCTTTCAAAAAGGGAATTTAATTAGAAATAGGTAGTGAGACTTTCTCTGAACCCTAAGAATTACACTTCTGCACATAGCCTTTCAAAACAATAAGAAAAAACAGAGAATTAATATTAGCCTTTCACATCAATTCAGTAGAGCCCTAGCCACAGTTAGTAAGAAATTGCAGTTACCTGGATCTGAGAAGCATGCAAGTCCATGGTGATGATGTGGTCAGCCCCTGCAACTGACAGCATGTTGGCAACAAGTTTTGCAGAGATTGGGGCACGACTCTGAGGAATAAAGCACATATGCTTAAATTTTAAAAAGATTTCTACTAGATGCAAGGAGTCAGAAAATTAGCTACTCTTATTGATTTTTTTTTTTTTTCCTTTAGAATATTTGGAATCTAGATATGAAGAGCTCCAGAACTTTAGCCAAACTAGCCTGCCAATAGCTAATCCTGCTACTAGGGTTTTGAAACTCAGCAAAACATTTAGGAATATCTAAATCAGTTTGCACAGTCTCCCTAATAATGTTTTGTAGTAATTAGACTAAGTAACAAGCAGATAAAATTGGGGATATACTATTTAAAACTTTCAGCTAGCTTTTCTATAGCAGAAAGACAGACAATCTCCGTTTCTCTAAGCCACTACCCTACATTAACATCCAACTCTCAAGCAACTATCCTGTCCTAAAAAACATTGCCAAAAACGAAGATTAAAGGCAGAACCCAACTTTTGAAAACATTGCTTTAAAACAAAGGTAGTATCAAGCATTTCTTCATGATACAGTAAAGGTTGTAACACATCCATGTTGGCAGGAGTTTTCTACCCCAGCCTACTTATTTATTCTTTTTTGCTAATTCAGGCTTAATTGTTGGATGCAATTAGGAGTCTAGAATTCCCAAAAGGGACAGGGGGATGAAAAATACAGAGAAGTGGAAAGAACAAAAGAACAAAAATCTAATTAGCAAAGTTAAAAAAATTCTTGACATTGGCATTAAAGTGACAAGAATGCAGAACAAACAGCAACGTAAAAAAAGAAAAGATGGAACACCATGACTGGAGGATATCTCACTTTTTAAAAATCAACTCTAAAGTTTTTTCAGATTGTTTTAAGCTCTGCAAAAAAGTTGTGTTGCCCTAGACAGCTTTCTCTAACAGAAATACTAAACAAAACCTCCTGTTTTCTTGTTGCCAATCTTTAAATAAGGCTAATGGCTGGCAATAACATTAGCATGAAGGCACAACTGCAATTCAGAGGTTCCATCTCACTGTCACACTTTTTCTTGCTGGCACAGTATTCTCTCCTGCTACATCTCTCAAACAGCCTCATTTAGCCTCCTTGAAACCCCTTCTCCCTCCACCCCTTACACACAATTACAGTGTCTCTGCTCTCTTTCCACTGATGCTCAAGGGCATAACCTAAACTAAGCTGAACCACTGCCAATTTAACCTGGATGCTTTTATGTTTGTGTCATATCAAGGAGCCAGTATTTTCTTCAAAACTTTTGTTCATTTAGATGGAAACTGTACATTTCTGTTTTAACCTGCAGATTGCCAACATGCTTCTGGAAAAGGAACTGAGATATTGCAGTCTTTCTTATGGCTGGATCAAGATTATCATCATAATTACAGAAATTCTTTATTTTGAAAACCATCCCTTTTGATTTTGTGTCTCACAGAACATCACTATTTGGCCTGTGTAAGATACACAGAAGATATATGCAACAGCTAGCACTTCCCTAGATCTCTGCAATTCAGATGCATATAGCTTCCATAAGTGTTTGCTATCATCAGCACTTTAGTACAGATGATGTTCCAGTTATGCTCTTCATTTAAATTCAGTTTGTAAGGTCCAAGTTGGCCAAAGCTTTCTGGATATTCCTATTATTAGTAGTAAACTTTTGGTTCAATGCTATTCAAATTCATGATCACTTCAGTTCATTTTAGCAGTACAAACTGACATTTTCAAGCCAGGCTTCAAAATATTCTCAAGTCTGGCAACATCTAACAAAACAAAGACTTAGTTTCTACTCTTTTGACTCTACCACAATACTCTCTTGTCTGATCTTTGCAAAGATCTGGTTTGATGCTACAGCTAACCTGGACAAACAGGTGATTCTGACACCAGAGGTTTGCTCCTCTGCTTGTCCCATCCTTATTCCCAGGCTATACGCTTCCACCACTCCCCTTGTGCTGCATGCTGGGACTCGTCTGAACCCACAGAAGCCAGATAAGGCAGCTCAAATGGAAAAGAAGGGAAAAGATGGCAAACCAGGACCAGCCCCTCTGGTAGAAACAAGTAACTAGTTCAGGCTAGCTGCTAAAGGCAAATTACATTCTTCCCAGAACATGGTTTGACATTTCCACTCCATCCAGCATACTGAATTTTGCATTCTATTTTTTTTCCATTTCTGTTCAATGTGAATACCACTTAGCCTGTCTCATGTATCAATATCATGAGTACCACCATCACAAAAACCCCCAAACTATTTTCCTGCATCAAAACTAATGTATACGTTACCAGTTGGTACTTCTTTCAGCTGCTGGCCTTGCAGGCTGCCTTCCCAGAAGGAAGAACTTGAAGGTTTTACCACTAGGTAAGTTGTTTTAGCAGACATGCACACATCACAGATTGCCTACATGTTGGTGCACAGAGGGTCTTGGAAGGAAAGATAGCCAGACACCAATACTTGTTTCTCAAGAATGGGCTAATAGGAGATTAAGACAAATGAGGTTTGCAGCTCTCTGACAGTTTCCTTTACACAAAATTGTGCATTAAAAGAAAATACACGTGACATGTTCAAAAGGATTTAATATTTGATTGCTTGCATAGAAAATAAGTTTGTGCTACAACACGATCCAAATCAAAGATTATTTTAAAATCAAAGGAAGTTTATTCATGGGAATAGAATAGATAGATAACCTGGCCTCATTATTAACCTCTCATCATTCAGAAACTTGGATGACAAAGGTACATGAGAACAAGATTTTCTTCATCTTGGACTATGTAAGGTTTGTTTCTGATCAGAGAAGCAAGAATACAGATTCACAGTATTCATTGTTCCATTCTTTGACACAATTTGAGATTAGTTTCAGAATTAGTGTGAAACGCAACATTACATTATGTACAGAAACTAAATTGTAAAAAAGAAAGTCACTGAGTTTTTAGTTTCTAAGCAAATTCCCCGCTTATGTATAACAAGTTATATAAATGATTTCTTCCCTTGTGATGCATTACAAATTTATTCATAGTTCTTAAAATTACCAGGAGCAGGGGGGAATCCACAAAGCTAATATAAACAACCTCACAAGAGTAACTATGCAAAGGACACATAACTGAAAGTTGTCCATCAAGATTAAAGCACTGTTGCCTTTAAGCATCTTATTACCTTTTCTTGCTCAAAATGCATCACAGGCATACTGAACAAAAAAAAAAATCCAAGAAAGCCCAAAGATTTAACTGGAACTTTCACTTCCAAGAAAGCCAGTTGTGAAGTGTATAGATACTGAATGTTCACTAATGTACCTAATTACCTAAATTTATCATTTCAAAAATGAGATATGCTTTGAAGCTTCAGAAGTTGACAGCCATTATCTTGAATGTCCAGATAAATTTTTAACTAGAAGCTAGGAGTTTTCTAGTAGCAAATTATTCCACAAGATTACTGTCATGGCCTAGGTGAAACACAACTGAAATCAAGAAGTGAAACTGAAAATGTTCCCAGTTATACATAATGTAACCCAGTAAGTTTCACCCTTTAAGGCCATATTAATGGAAATGCATAGCGTTAGATTAAAAAAAAAAGGATACCTACCCAACGCTCCACGGACCCCTTCTACAAATCAAAAAAACAAAGTTACATGAGCTGTAGAACACCAAACTCGCCTGTCACTTTACTTCTAACTTATCTCAAAAGGCATCTCTGCAGCATCCTACATAAATGTGTCCTGCCCATGGCTTGGAAGGTTAGCATAATTAGAGGATGCATAAATGCAACTATGGCCAAAGCACAGATACACCTGAGCTAATTTTAAATTATCTAGCTTGTATGTCAGAAGTATTCTACTTTATGGCAGTGCTTGACTGCGTCTAAACTAATTTACCAACTTTTCTAAGATTCTCAGCAAGTCCTTTTTTAAACCTCTGCTTCTCATTTAAAGCTAGCCCAGGCTTAATGCTAAAATTTCCAGAGTAGATTACACAGGCCTTTTTCAGAATATGATTTTTTTATTGCAAGGCCCTTTCCATAAATAAATCAATCAAGAGCACTTTCATTGTTCTTAGCAATCATAACTGCAGAGGCATGAAGAATACAGGGTTATTTCAAGCTGCAAGGACTCAGTCTATTTAGTTCTTTATGGATTGAAGTCAACAATTTAAATTCAAACCAGAGAACAGCATCCAGCTGGTGAAGATTATACTGCTTCAGTTCATAGTCAAACAAACCACAGCAATATCTTTCACAAAAGAAAATCTGTGTATAACCACAGGAAGAAAATGGCTGGCACTTTACTGACACTTCAGGCAGCATACAAAGCTTGTGTGCTAAACATGGGTCAAAGACTAAGTGATATGGTGCAATCCAGCAGGAGGAGGAAAAATCTCCCTGTCAATAAGCTGCCCAATGTTGACAACTATGTTATAGCTTATTTTGCAACATGGAGGTCAACTACCAAGGTTAATTTCCAAAGATGGCAAACATTTCCTCAATTGCAAAACAGAGGTGAAAAAGAAAAAAAAAAAAGAAAAAAGAAATGGCTTGCCTAGAATTGCAGGAGAACTCGGTGATACCCAGAGAAGAGTCTGGAACAATGCTCAAGATCTGTTAATCAAAATCACTTTCCTAGGCTATCCACATTCAGATGGCATTACCAAAAGACAAAATGCTCCTGGGTAGCATGCTGGGCCACCACGCTGTGGGTTTTAAGTGTCTCTTGGAAGCCTGCCATGTGGATTTTGGGTACCCTTGACAAGGCATAACCTAGATGCATGGAAAACTTGGGACATAATCATCCTTTTCCCACACCAAGAACTTACAAGATGGTCCATCAGAATTTTCCAATATGAATTTGGAAAAACATAGTCAGATGCTTTCCTTTCCTTTCAACAAAATGTTTATCACTTCCCCTTCAAGTTCTTTTGGTAAAAAGCAGTATTTCAGCTTCCCTGATTGAGGGAGAGCATTATTTGATACAAAACACAGCAAAAATGAAGTTCCAAAAGATGTAGGCAAAGAATAGGGAGCTACTAACTCTTGAATTCCATTTTTTGAAGCACAACAAGTGGATCTTGATAAAATTAGTATGGTGTCAGAGAACCTGCACTTAAAGAATGAGTATACTAGAAAATAACTTTTCTGTATTTAGTTTTGTTCTCTAACATCACAGGCTGAGCATTACATATTTCATAGTAGCTATTATTTTATCTTCTGCATTACTTCTCAGTCCTGTTATGTTTTATATAAAAGAATGTAAGAATGACAGAAGGCTTTCAGGATGTTTTGCTTGATGCCCAAATATGAAAGGGAGGGGGGAGTTCATTTATGGGAAACATGGGAGAGGGGCAATTTTCCAAAAAGACAACCATTGCAATCCAATCCTAAAAGCCAAATTCAAGTTTATTCTTGTTAGTGCTTTTCAAGTGAGTTTAGGTAAAAGTAACATTCACATGACACAGAGTTTTTTGTACGTATAGTAGAGATAGGAAAATTTAGTTTTGTATTTTTTAAAATCAAACTCACTTGACACAGAGAGTTTGTTACTGTGTTATCAACTTGGCTGAACTGGTATGTTCATCAGTTATGGCAGACCAAATTCAGGAAAAGGGCACTAAGATCAGAAGAGTATTTATGGGATTTCCATACAAGTTTTGGTCTGCATCAATAAAAATAATTATTACAGATATATTTTATGCTGCAAGACAGATTAAAAAAGTTTTTAATGTTTTTATTACTGTTACACATTGCAGGTTTAATCAGTTCCTTCCATTTGTCTCTGTTTAACCACATAGGGTAAAACCCACCTAGATAATGGTTATAGCACTTCAAATTTAGGATTTAATTCCATGCAATTAAAATGTTTAAAAGGGTGTATTCTCTTCATATATAGAAGTAGAATAAAAAAAAGCAGCTAGAAAAAGCAGGAAAAACAGTCCCATAGGTGAGGTTTGCCAGCAGAGTACTTTGGATTATACCACACACATAGGATGTACCTACTTTTTCAAACTGAAGGCATGTCAATTATCAAAAGACAAGCAAAAAATAATTCATCTCACTTCATTCACCTATAGATGATATAATTGAACATTTCACCCAGAAAAGGATTAAAAAAGGCAAATCTTTCAAATCACTTAAACATTTATGAAAACACCATTCATCTCCAAAAATTTCAAGTGAGCAAGCTGAAAAAAGGCTTTCCAAAATTACAGAGTTCTTACCTACCTTGTCTTTCTTATCTTGCCTGGCATATGGAAAACATGGAATTACAGCAGTCACTCTGGAGGATGATGCAATCTTGCAAGCATTGATCATGATAAGCAGTTCCATTAAGTTGTCATTTATTTCTCCACAGCCACTCTGGATGATATACACATCTTCTCCTCTCACACTTTCACCAATCTCTACACTGAAAGAGCAGGAGATGACCATTTAAAGACTTGAATTACTGGAAAAGCATTATTAAAGAATAGAAAAAACAGTTTTGTTCTAAGAAACTTTCATAGGTTTATCCCTATTTAGAGCAAGTTTTTTTCCAGCAACTTGGATAACTGTCCCCTTGATACAAAGTCTATTTCAGTATAAACCAGTCTAAAATTTACTTTAGCCTAAATATGGTCTTCATAAGGTCAGCACCAACCAACAATGTAGTTATGGCTATAGCACTGATGCAGCTCACATTGTTATTAAATTTTATACTGCCTTTTTTTTTTTAGTCTGTATATTCTGTGTCCTTGTCTCCTTCCAAGGAGATGACCATTTGAAGAACCACCTAGATAGGTACAGAAACAATTGACCCAGCTTCAGAGCATTAAATACTGCCTGCATCAAAATACCTCCTTAAAAAGGGCAATTATTTTCCAATGATAATTAAGACATTACTAAATTTGAGAAACTACTACATCTTAGAAGAGAGAAGTATCAAGCCACACCCCAAAAACAGAAGTCTGGTTAAAATTTACACCATGATGTCGAAGTAAAATAATTTTTAAAAAGAAAATCTTAAAGAAAAAAACTAAGACGGCTGCTTATCAACAGGTCACCATGACTAAACTGTCACGGCGCATCAGTTGTTCTATTTGCTCTAACTGTTTTTACATACTTTGGTTCCTTATGATAGTATCTAAGAGTCATTTTATTCTTCCACAGATTAAGGGAAAATTAAAACACATCAGTTGAATGTGGATTTTTTTTTAAATTCTAGACCCAAGCAGGAGGAATCTACTGTTGAACCACACTAACTTTTCACATCTATTACTCCAAAGCTTACCAGTTAACCAGCACATTAACCTTAATTTTTCCCTGAATCCATGCACAACATACAAGAAACACACAGACTTCCTAAATGAGGTGATCAGACCTTTCAAAGCCATGCTCCAAGTTAGTCTTAATTATTAAACGCTAAAATATCTTGGGCCCTTATTTAAAAGGTTGCATCTTTACCCAAGACACAAATAACCAAAAGCTTCTAGCCAGAAACCATCCAAATGGCCCAGATGTGGGTAGAATAATTTCTCTGATGGGTCCTTCAACACTGAGGCTTGTTCTAGTCAAACACAGTCTGAATAACTTTCATTTATCAGCTTTCAGGGTGCTGTGTGAGATTCATTAGCTTTCTGTAGCTGCAAAACACAGAAGGGAATTTACTACTTAAAACCATCTTAATGATATGCAAACATTCAATTTACTACCATCAAGATAGTTGAGTTCATGCTCTTAGCTCCCCTATTCAACTCCTCTGCAGTCCCAAACAAGCTATAAAAAGACCCTGTCTTAATTTTTCTCCTTAATTGGATACTTTTTTGCCCAAGAATGCTACTATCAGGATTTCTTAAGGCCAAAAGAAAGAAAGCCATCTAGCAAACACCAAGATCTCCGGAAGGACAGGGGTGGTCAGAGACAATGTGATCTGCAGATATATCAGTGTTAATCCAGGAAGCCTTTTGGTGGCTTTTACCATGGCAAAGACACAATTTTTTGGTCGTAAAACTGTTACTTCCCTGTCCAAGTTTTTGATCAATGGAATAGGGCTATTCAGAGAAAACTGTTTTGATCAGAATATTTTCTTAGTTTGCTTTCCTTTATGGAGCTGAAAAAGTTTTTATGTTCAGCAAGATGCTAAGCATATTCCATAATTGGAAGAACCGGCTTAATTAGATGCCCTACCAAAAACAGTTCTGCTGTTGGAATACCAGAGTTCCACTTCCCAGAAGAATAAACAAAACCAAATAAATCTAGAAATCTGTCATTGCTTCTGAATACATAAATCCAGCTTCAAGTAAAGCATCTACCCACTTAGCTTACAGACAGAGACTCAGTCATCATTATAGATTCACGGTTCTTATTATGAGGGCTCTGAAAAATTATAATCGCCACTCAACTTGGCACTTACACAGACCTGCTTAATATCAAGTGCTGTCACATACCACACCTTTGGAATAGTTCCAAAGAAGAACACCCCCACGTGCAAAAGCTCTATGGCACCTCTTTCAACCCATGACTGTGAAGTTACACTCCAGTTCTGAAAATTAATCTAGGAGCCATTACAGAGGAGAATGAAGTAGAAAAGGACTAAGAAAAAAACCAATATCAGTTTTCACAGGAGAATGTTATTGGAGGGACAAAGGAGAGCAGAATAAGATTTTAGTACTTGGGAAAAAGTAACCACTAGTTTCATAGACATATTATGTAATAGGGAAAAAACCTCAACTTTGCTGAATGACAAAAATACAGAATCTTAATGTTCATTATATACACAGAGAACAGTGAATTATAACCCTCCACGTTGTTTTTCTCCTTTAAAAAACAGTTCTTTCTAAACACATTGCTAAGAAATAACAGGTTTCAGAAGGTCAGGGAATATACTTTGAGATAAATATAGATCTGGTTAATACAATGGACCTGAAATGATGCTTCTTCCATTGCCATTAACTACTATCTTTGCAATGACTTTAGGTTAGCAATAACTTTTTCAGCTTGTAAACAGCTTAGAAAATGAAAATTCTACTACTTTCTCTCTTGGCGCATTTGAAAAATTTTTGGGTTTGCTTTTTAGGCCAGAATGACATACTTATTTGGTACACAAAAATGTGAATGTATGTGTATATGTATACAGATATACCTTCTCTAGTGGACAAAGAAGTTATGCGCAGACTAGAATAAGTCAAGCTTAAATTAATACTTGCACAGCACTCAGGAGTAACCCAGCTAAAGGTGCCAGAGAAAAGCATAGTGTAATTCTTGCACAAAGATCTTTTCCCAATCAACTGGAGACAGCTATGCAACAGATCAGTATCTTTTACCGTCTACCTTCTCAAAGATTGGTATTGAGAGGTATTGTGTAGACTCAACCAACAGACACACAGCTGCCTGTTTTACCTTCATTGAGACACACAGTAAAAGATAAACAGTCATTGTGATGCAAGTATTCTACCAGCGCATCGGGGTTTTTTTGGGTGGGGTTGTTTTTTTGGGGGTGGGGTGGTGGTTTGGGTTCTTTGTTTATTGGAGGAGGTTCCTTTTTTTTTTTTTTACACATTCAGCTATAAACAGGCAAATAATAAGAGACTATAAACTACAGTATATCTGAAGTATTGTACCTCAAATTTCTGTTAGAGAACACTAAACTAACAGCAGTCAAACTTTGTGACAGTTATTAACATTACTACTAAATTCCACTTATATCATCTATGTCATGACCTAATTAACTGGTTGGGGGGGTAATTAAACAATTTGACATAGTGAGGACACAGAGGAAGGACACAAGAACAACCTCTTGCCTCAAGATTACAAGCTCTGTTTGTTTTATGCAATTTAATCAAATTCAGCGATTTGGTAACACTCAGTTTAAATAAACTCCTTGTTCAAGAAAAGTCAACAGAACATGTACATTAAAAGCCCTGACACAACACAATTTTGTTTTAAAGTAAAAAATCATAGAAATTAATAGCCCACAGCAGTAATTAACTTTGAGACAGTTTTTTGGAATGCACAAGCACAAGGCTCTAGCTGGGAAAGATACACATAAGACAGGACACGATGAAAAACAAGTTTGAGTGTTGGTATCTACCTTCATCTTGCAGAACCCGATTTAAGAGTTCAATTTAATAAGTGAAAACCTGGATAGACTAATTATCATGAATTAAGGATAAGGCTCAAAACCCACTTACATTACAAATGTATTTCAATGGCTGAAGCATCCATTAAGCAAAATTCAAAATCAGGAGTAACAGCAGGCTGAGCTCCTTCTGAGCTAGACTTATAGTACACTCGCAAGAGAAGTTATAGCAATGAGAATTTTAGATTTGTACATCCTACCGAAAAAAACAGTTGTGGGGAAGCAGGGGAATAAGTATGCAGAGACAGACTAAAATGGTAGATAACGTAAACCCGTAACTAGGATCCTGTCCAAATCATACACTTAAAGTGGCTCTATGTACCCTCTTAAATAATTACAACAGATGAAGTTTCTAGGCATGTTTGTAAGTAGTAAGATTTCTCAAGCAATTTAGGTACCAATAAAGTAGATGTGTACCTCAGGCACTTCTAATAACCAAAGAGCCCAAAACTTAAGGTCTAGAGTCCTCATGCAGTTTGCAAGAAGAATCAATATCTCAAAACTGATAAAAAAATCCACATGCTGAATTTGCAATTCATTGACATGCAGCCAATGGAAAGCACTAAGCAAAGGGGTGTGCTTGACCTCTTACCTTTGGGAACACATTTTGCAAAGTCTTTTAATGCAAGACCTCCAACTTACTGGGCAAATGTTTCAGCTGCTGTGATGTTACATACAAAGTGGGTACCAGCAAAGCGCAAAGAAAACAATAAAAATGCCAGAGTTGGTTTTAAGTCTATAGGTATCCTGTATCTCCCGGCACCCATGGTCTCCCCTCAACTCTTAAGCTCTCCCACTTTGATTAACAGCTGCAAGACCAAACCCCAATAGATATTCATTGACAACTGCCCCATCCTAATGGTGGGCACTGGCACAGTAAGCACCATGAGACAGGAAATATCTTCTTACCCTCCGCTCTGGCACACAGCCTGCTACCGCAAGAGGAAAACATCTTCACTAGAGCAGCTCTGGGTTGAGCCACACACAGCCTGAAAGGAACCCTCAGAAATTTGTAACAAGCCTAAGCATGTGCAGAGAATCTTCAAAGGCTGAGGACCAAATTCTGCAGCTAAGGACATGTGGGATCATCAGCCATTATTCACACGGGTCAGTTTTTCTTCAAATTTCAAGCATGTAGCATCTACTTAAAAGATTAAAAAACACACAGTATACAGCAAGATCAATAAAGTGGAAGTCTCAAACCAAAAGCTTTGAAGCATTTTTGGGCCTTTTCTGATTCAGAGCAATGAACAATGTGATAAATGGCCATATTTGCTGCATCTTCAATT